GAGATTATTTTTAAAGTTCAGTGATCTCGTGGAAATATTTTGCAAAGTTTAATGATGACTTGGTTGATTTTTAAAGTTCAGTGACCATTTGGATTATTATCTCTAGAAAAAGAAAAAAAATAAACTTAACGGTAAGAACTACATGAAATTATGCAAAACATTATTTATTTCGAGTATTAAACAACAAAAAGGATATCGAATAGTTGGTAAACTGTCACCCGGTCATTTCACACACGATCAATTTGATTGTCCGTTGATTTTGTAATTGAATCACTTCGACGGAAAAATATCCAAAAGTTAAAAGAATTAAACTTTATCTACATATATTATGTAAGTAACTAAAGTTCATCTCCAAGTGATCGATAAAATTTCAATTTCAAAACCAATTCATATCACCAACAGAATATCCATAGTAAACCGAATTAGTTTTCACCTACACAATGTTTTTTTCCCCCATCAAAATTTATGAATATCACCATTCCATATGTCCTAACCTGCCATGCATCTTTGTTGTTTAAAAGTGATGTACATATTTTCAAATTCAAATATTAACGATTTTCAACATGTAATAAAATGATAGAATGACGATTTACTACTTTATTGAAAATATTTAAACGCAGAAATGAAGATACTCAGAAAATTCGAAAACAGTCGAGGTGGGAGTGTATTATTATTATTATTTTTATGGAAATCAAACTCAGAAGTTAATTATTTAAAAGCAGTGAAATGAAGGGTCAAACCTACGAAAGCTGAAGAAGTGAATTGAATAGTCACTAAGCACGTTAGTTGAGGAATTCAGAGATAAAGTTGGTACAAAAATCTCTACAAGACAAATGACATACCGTTGGAAGATAATTGGATAAGAAGTTTAACTTTTTTTTTTTCACGGATTGCATAGCAGAATGAGGTTATACAGCACGATATGAAGTATTAATCACAACAACAAGATGATTACAAAGAGAAATTTTATTTAGCAGATGAATTGGAGATTTTAGTCAACTATAATGAAAAAAGAATTACAAAAATTGTGTTTCTGATGATTATTCTAACTTCTATAATAAATTATCTTGTAAAGAAGAGTCAACTATATATAGGAGACATATCAAAACCTTAACGATATTTTTAAAGATGAAAATAATATTAAAAATGCATAAAATAAAGGAAACAATATTTTTTCAATAAAAACGCATGGAATAAAGGAAACAATATTTTTTTTAGAAAAAAAACAATTGAATTTGGATCACAACCCCCAACAATCTTCTCATTTTCACGATTTTCATTGCAATGAATGAAACTCCAAAATTTCTTAACTGAAGAGAGAATTCAATTGCAAGGAAAGAACTGAACTCTTCAACACGAACAACAGTAACTTCTCCAATGAATAATAAATTCTCCACCTTTACCAGGATATCCAACTAGGATAAATTAATTCAAACACTGTTCCTCATAATCACCTCGGGTTCAACCAAAAATCACAAATGATTGAAAATTTACCAAACAAAATCGAAACACAGCCTGAAATAGAATCAACACAAAATACTTTTGTAGAAGGCCCTTTATTAGATTCAACACCTTCAAATACACTTAAATCATGTGCAAAAAATCAGTATCGACTTACCTACCTATCTTCATTGGGTCAGTCCCTAATAAAAAATACGATGGCACCACGGGTAGTGGTAAAGCAACACTACCCATATCCTTGAACTTGAGTGGGTTGTATTCTTTAACATGGACCCCAAATTAAATCTCAATGGTATTGTACTAAACTGAATATCCACCATGATAATAAACCTTTGCTGATTGTTATTCAAGCATTCTGTGCAACCTTGCAAGACTTTTTCTGTCCCTCCAATACAACACGAACACCTTTGCAAACGCTCAAAACTTTTCCTCCACCAAAGAATTTGTACCCTTTAAACTCAAGAATGCTTAACAAGATGAGATTTTTCTTCAAATTTGAAACACGTCGTACCTGATCAAGTATTCTAACTGTCTTATCCCCTAGCTTAAGTCTAATTCTACCAATACGGGCTACTAGACAAGGTACATTGTTTCTAAACCATGACAATTGTTGAAACTATTTCTTAAATTGAAAATAAATCTCAATAGGGACATATATGAAAAGGCACAAGCTATATCCAAAATCTAATCTTCGTCAGGTTGGGACTCTGTCAAAAATAGCCAACACATCTCCATCTCTCGAGTAGTTCTCCTCAACACTAGCTTCACCTATAGTTTCTAATTGCTTTCCCTTCTAATTTTGTAGCCAGCATGTTGCAATCCTTCTTGATGTGTCATTTCTTCTTGCAATAAAAATAAACTTGATTACTGAAATTAGATTTCGACATGTCTCTTCCGTGACCACTATGAACAACAAG